AGATGAAGATAAAATTATCTAATTACTCAAAAATATCATTGCCACCCTTGATATTTAGGAACAAAATAAACTTCTAAAAAAACACCTTATATATAAAGGACAGGAGAAGTAGGTTTCAAAATATTAAATTAATAACAGGCACGTTCCTAACAATTTTTTTTAAAATAAGTTAAAAATATCAATCCAAACAATTATAAATTTAAGAGTTTCAATGGCAAAGGTGTATTTAAATATCAAATATAACTATTAATGATAAACATAAATTTTTATTTGTAAGTTGTAACTGTTTAAATTTAATATTTATAACTCATTTTTTAAAAAATTTATTGAAAATCTAACTGCCATTAATTCAATTTTTAGGACTTCATTATCATTCTGACAATTATATATCTCCAGCTTTTATATTTATCATTTCTAATTTATTTTTTCCATTACAATTAATATAATATATACTTTTGAACAAAAAAAATCATTTGAAGTTACATGTCATAATTTTTTGACTAAAATATAGTATGCCTATAAAAAAGCATGCTAAACAAAATTTTCTTCTGGTAATAGTTTAAAATCAATGTTTTTATTACTTATAAGCATTTTCTTATTGGAGGGCAATTATATTCAAGGTACGGTCAGGTACTAAATATAGGCATCTTTTCAATGAGAATTTAATCCTTAGTTCATCATACTGTAAGAGACTAATTCTTTCTACTAGACCCAACCATGTTGGTAATAGTTCAAGATCAATTTAATGATACATTATTATAGGGTTAATGAGTATTTTAAACCCTAAACTATTGCTTGAATAGTATATTGGATCCTAACTGTTGAAATATGCTAAAACTCCCTTCAACTTTTAAATTTTGAGTGCCCGAAAGCTCGTCGTTAAGTTGGAGAAAATGATAGTTATTTTTAAGGGTTAAGATGAGTGCCACATCAACATGCAACTGGGCTCCATAACTACAAAAGTAACAGCCATTTTTTCCAACCTAAAGGTGAAGTTTCAAGCGCTCGAAATTTAAAAGTTGAGAGGAGTTTTTGCATATTTCAAGAGCTTAGGATCTAGGATGCTATTCGCGTAATAGTTTAAGATTTATGATACTCGTTAACCCTACATTTAACTTTATTTTGCTGTCTCATGTGCATGACGAGCATATACATGTACGTATAAAATATTCTGTTCTAATTAAGTAATTTCCCAAGCATATAGTGAATTAGAGATATGACATCAAATTTCTGTGTGTGTAGGTGGAGTTACGTGGACAAAACCTTTCTCTTGTTTTAATCACAAGCACTTGGATTAACTAGCAAGAGTTATTCCAGCTTAATTAGAGATCTTGAGTTCAAATCCTGAGAATGCAGTAATGTAAGTGGTCAGGGGCGTCCACCCTTTTAGTGCTTGTCATGACTATATCCCAATTAGTTTGGGCCCCATTAAATTCTCACGCCCCGAGTGAGACAGGCCTAGAACATTGGATGCCCATGCAAAAGAGGGGAAAAAAAAAAGCCTTGCTCTTGTTTTTGTTTATCTGTATAAAAGATTTAGTGTGAAAGGCATAAATCTTCGAAGCATCATCAGCACAAATAACAAGTGGTGTAAAGGGGAAACGAAGAAGAAAGGAGGGAAGGAAGAAATAGAAAGAGAAGAATAATGAATTTTTTAATTACTTAAATTTGTTTTAGTTATTAATTTAATCTTTCAAATTTACTTTTTATATGTCAATTTAAGTTTGTCTTGGTTATTGGTTTTGTCTTCATTATGTATGCGACTCATAATTTAAAGGCAAGAATTCAAATTCACCACTAATGTGATGAGGACATTAATGGTAATTATTTGTAAGTATTTCTTTAAGCATTTTTTTTCTAACTATATATGGTCTACATTGACTTTGATGAGCTTAGTACAATCCTCTAGATCTAAATTTGAGTTGTTTTTATTTTTACTAAGTTACTAATTTTTCAAATATGATCATTCTTATATATTTTGCCCTTATTTTCACATTTCCAAACTTCCCATCATCATCCTCAATTACAATTAGAAGTATTGTTAAATAAAATCCAACCACAATCCTTCATAGGCAATGGATTGAGGCCTTTATTTAATTTTTTGACCGTATTTTTACGATAAAAGAATCCTTAAAATTGAAAAATTTTAATTTGTTTCTCCGTTGCTGTCAAGGGAGTAGGCGAGAAAAATTAAAGTGAAATGAGGAACAGTACTTATCATGGTGCTCTCCAGAATAATATAGTTGGTGGCCATGAGGTCACATATAATTGTTGTTATCAAGAGAAATAAGTAATTAAAAAAGTTAACCTAATTAAAATCAAATCTTCTACACTCACATGGAAGTAAAGCTTAATCAAATCTTGCAAATAAATGAATTTTCTAACAAGTTAACCTAATTAAAATTAAATTTTCTACACTCACATGGAAGTAAAGCTTAATCAAGTCTTGCAAATAAATAAATTTAGAAAATTTAGAAAATGTTATTTATTTGTAAGACTTGATTAAGCTTTACTTCCATGTGAGTGTAGCCCTTTCAAGCCAATAATGTCACGGAGGAGGAAAAGTTAGAAAGCAGATCGGTATAGTATGAAAATGACTCAATCACATGAAGTGAGAAAGGGAGAGAATGACAAATAAGGACCTTATAAGAACATTAATATCAAGTTAGGATCTCTTTATAATTAATTAAGGATCCCAAATCAATTCAGTGCTCATTCTCCCATAAATTTCAATACTAAAATCTTTTTAAAAAAATCTTGGATTTGACTTTAATATTGTTATAAAGTTCTTACTTGTCATTTCCCTGGATTTTTATACCTCAATAGGCCAGCAAATTCTCAAGGGCATTCAGGTATTTTCATCCTTCAATTCTCTGAGAGAAAGGAGTTTTTGTTTTTGGATCGTTTACATTAATTAGTTGCAATATAGAAACTCTAGGCCTAGGCATATATATGTTTATAGACAGTGTTGGTTAAGTGACAATATAGCATATTATTAGTATGACAGAGTACATACGTATATATAAGTTTAAAGTAAATATATAACGAAAAATCAGAGAAGAATTTACACCACCACCATGTTGATGAGAAGGAAATTTCCTTATTAACTCAAGGCTCATACCACATGAAGAGTACATTTAAATACAAGAGACTGAAAGTAACTGACTTTTCTCGTAAAGCATATGTTTACTAGGGCGAAAAAGATTCTTACAAAAGTAGGTCGAATAAATTATATCAGACCAGAGTAGG